CCACAACAGAGAGATGATACAGTTTCCTCAGGTTAGTATTGGTATTGAGGGAACACATGTAGTCGCCCGTGTCGTCCATGTTGACATTCTTGATGGTCAGTACCCACGCCTGTTCCCCATCCAAGGTGAGGGAGTGGTGGACGGTGATGCGGGGATTCTCAGTAAACACGTCATCCCCCATAGCAATAACAATGCCTTTCTTCATCTTGATCCACGCTGTCTGTGAGGAGGAAGGGAACCAATATGGGGAGGGTGTAGATAATGAATGATAGTGAGAGGAGGAGTTACGTGTTGTTGAGTGACGCGTAAAATAGGTGGGGGGAAAAATGTTGTGAAGTGACGTCTGTTTGGAGGTGCCAACACGTGGGTATAGTAGAGTGATAGTGATGTGAGGAGTTATGTGTTGTTGAGTGACGAGTTAATGAAATAGGTGTAAGGGAACTCAAAAGGTGGTTAATTGAGTGACGTCTGTAGGAGGAGGTACAACACGGGGATAAGTAATGGGTGAGTGACAGTGAAGGGCGGAGTTACGTATTGTGGAGTGAAAGGGAACTGAAAAGGTAAAGAAGAAAAAATCAAGTTGACAAATAACGTCTGTGGTAATGAGTGACAGGGAGTGACGAGGAGTTACACGTATGTGGAGTTACAAGCCAAAATGGGTGCTAACCAAAGTTAACCAAACCTAATATAAAGAAGCCTAACCTAACCTAACCAAATATAACCTAAGTTAGTCTAGGATAAGCTAACCTAACCTATAATCTAATCTAACATAACCAAATCTAACTTAAACAAGTCTAGTTTAGCCTAACCAAACAATAACAAACCTAACCCAACCAAAACCAACCCAAACCCAACCAAAACCAACCCAAACCCAACCAAAACCAACCCAACTAAACCAACCAAATCCAACTCAAACCCAACCAAAACCAACTCAAACCCATGCAAAAAACAAATAAAACTACCCAACCCCTAACCCAACCAAGACCCAGCCCCCCTACCCCTCCACGAGAGTTTACTGTACCACTTGGATAAAGCAATGGCGATAGTTGGATAAGAGATATTTTCTTAAGGTTTTATTCCTTCCTTCCTTCCTTCCTTCCTTCCTTCCTTCCTTTCTTCCTTCCTTCCTTCCTTCCTTCCTTCTTTCCTTCCTCTTTCTTTCTTTCTAGTTTCCTACATTTTTCCTCCCTTCTTTTCTCCCTTCCTTCCTTCCTTCCTTCCTTCCTTCCTTCCTTCCTTATCTCTATTCCTACTACCTCCATACTTCCCTTCCTGCCTACCTCTCATATTTAATTCCTTAATACATAACACTTTTGTAGATAATTATAATCCCCTTGAATCACCGATATCATCCAAACGATAAATAAAACATTGAATATACCGGAAACTCATCACATATTATTACTTACTAAAATTAAAGTTATGTTGTACACTAATCATCCTGTATAAATATATATTGTTACATACCGGGAATAGTTGCGTTTAATTCTGAGAGTGCCTTTAGGGTACCTTGTTAAATTATCCATATGATAGAACAGGTGAACAGACCGATATACTGAGTCAATGTAAACCTGTGTTGAGTCTCAGATACTAATATACACCATTTTGTTCCATTTATCGCCTCACTCGACATATTATCCATACGATTCTCCTTCCATCTTTATTCTTATTCTTTTTCTTCACCTGTGGCCCTCCCTCCCTCCCTCCCTCCCTCCTCCTTGTTCACCTGCAATTCTCCTTCCTTCATTCCTTCCTTCCTTCCTCCTCTTTCACCTACTCCAACACACCTCAGTTCTGGGTCTCCCTCTCGACACACACACACACACACACACACACACACACACAGAGAGAGAGCTTTTCCCTTCTCTTGCATCATTCATCAACAGCGTCTCTCATTTCTCTCTCTCAAGTATTTCACATAAACAACCACAATTCTATTCTCCTCGTCATATTTTCCATAAGACTATTCCATAAGCAGCCACCCCCCCACCACCTCCTTTCGCACACATACGCATGCTTGGTCGTCTTCTTCAACTTGATTCTTCTTGTTCTTGTTCTTCTTGTTCTTGTTCTTCTTGTTCTTCTTGTTCTTCTTGTTCTTGTTCTTCTTGCTCTTGTTCTTTTTCTTCTTCTCGTTGTTGTTGTTCTTCTTCTCATTTTCCACCTCTAATTTGTTTTTCTTCTCCAACGTCTTCTTATTCTTCTGCTTCGTCTTCCCCTCCTCCTTCCTCTTCCTCTCCTCTCTCGGTGTCATCTTTCACAGCCTGGCACCGCCTCGCATCATTCATCAGCGTCGCTCTCCCTCACATAATGTACCCCGCCACCTAGTATGTCTTCCCACACACGGTAAGTAAGTCTCCCCGGATCTCTCCTTTATTCATCTCCTTCTGCTGCGCCTTCTTCTTCTTCTTCTTCTTCTTCTTCCACACACCGTCTGCTGGGTATCTCTGTGTTTTTAAATCATTACTCAGATCTACCCTCTCCTCCCTTCTCTTCTTCCGCGTCTCTCCTCCTCCTCCCTCGCCTTCTTCTGCGTCTCTTCTCCCCCAGAAATGATAAAATTGTTGGCGGTGACTGACTCAGGCGGTGGACTGACTCAGGCGGTGCGGTAGACTAAAGCAATGTCAAGATGTGTAAAATTATAATGTCAGGTTGGGTAAAGGGTGAGAGTCAGGTACACTACATCAGTTGGGTGAAGGATGTGAGTCAACCAATCACGGATGACTCACCAGGAACAAGATTTATGATATATCTGTTAAGGAAGTATATAGTCTTGCTCACTACTCGATCTTCCTCTTGACGGACACTTACACTTGAGTGATATATTGAGACAGTTTGTATAGAGGAATCTTGACGGTTTGGAGGACATATATAGAGAGTTTAAAGCAATTCTAACGAAACCAAATCTAACCTAACCTAACCTAACCCAGCGAAACAAATCTAACCTAACCTAATCTAATCTAACCTAACCTAATCCAACCTTAACTAACCTAACCCTAACCTAATCCAACCATAACTAACCTAACCAAACAAATCTAACCTAATCTAATCTAATCTAACCTAATCTAATCCAACCTAACGTAACCCAACCCAACCCAACACCAACCCAACCCAACCCAACCTAAACTAACCTAACCTAACCAAAAGGTAAAAATTTATTACCATAATATTTTTTCCCCAGTTATTAACAATATGACGCTGTGGGTTGACGGTATACAGCAGTCGGCTCACTTGAGAATTGTCCCCACTTCGATTCCCACCAGGGAGTAGAAGACTGCCCTCCCTCCCTCCTTCACTCCCTCTCTCCTTCCCTCCCTCCCTCCTTCCCTCCCTCTCTCCTTCCCTCCCTCTCTCCTTCCCTCCCTCTCTCCTTCCCTCCCTCTCTCCTTCCCTCCCTCTCTCCTTCCCTCCCTCTCCTTCCTCCCTCTCTCCTTCCTCCCTCTCTCCTTCCCTCCCTCTCCTTCCCTCCCCTCTCTCCTTCTCCTCTCTCCTTCCCTCCTCTCTCCTTCTCTCCCTCTCCCCACCCCCTCCCTCTCTCCTTCACTCCCCTCTCTCCTTCCCTCCCCTCTCTCCTTCTCTCCCCTCTCTCTTCCTCCTCTCTTCCCTTCCCCTCCCTCCTCTCCCTTCCCTCCCCTCTCCTTCCCCTCCTCTCTCCTTCCTCCTCTCTCCTTCCCCTCCCTCTCTCCTTCCTCCCCTCCCTCCTTCCTCCCTCTCTCCTTCCCCTCCCTCCCTCCTTCACTCCCTCTCTCCTTCCCTCCCTCCCTCCTTCCCTCCCTCTCTCCTTCCCTCCCTCTCTCCTTCCCTCCCTCTCTCCTTCCCTCCCTCTCTCCTTCCCTCCCTCTCTCCTTCCCTCCCTCTTCGAACACTAACCCTTATACCGTTTACCTTGTCTCTTGTATTTTTTTTTTATTAAGGGAGAAAAAACGTGAAACAAAGACGCATCGACTAATTCAAAATCTGAGGAGGAGGAGAGAAACAGCAGGTGTCTTATATCACTATTTACATTAGAACCAGTGAAATAAAACACCTGGTGGGGGATATAAGACATACACAACTCTACGGTAATAACCACCCACGTTATACTTACCTGCCATTACCTGCTACCCAAGACCCAACTACCTCTCCCCCTACCCCTGTCTCCACCTGTCTCGTTAGCTCAAAAGAAATACTTAGAAGATATTCAGAATATTCACGAGAGAGAGAGAGAGAGAGACTAGTTGTTTACACACACACACACACACACACACCTTACGAGAGAGAGTTTGAACAGTTGTGAGTAACTTTCACCTCATTCTGACATCTGCTTGTGGCCCCTGAGACAATGTAAGCTATAGGTTATTGAATAGTCCTCCTCCTTCTCTTCCTCCTCCTCCTCCTCCTCGTCTCTCTCCTCCTCCTCCTCCTCCTCTTCCTCCTCAACTTCATTTACCACTCCTCTTCCTACTCCTCCTCGTCCCTCTCCTCCTCCCCCTCATTACCCTCTTCCTCCCATCCTGTTCTTCCTCCATCTCCTCCTCCTTCACCTGCTTCCCCCCTCCTTCTCCCCTCTTCTTCCTCCATCTCCTCCTCCTTCACCACCACCAACACCCCCTCCTTCTCCCCTCTTCTTCCTCATCTCCTCCTCCTTCACCACCACCAACACCCCCTTCTCCCCCTCTTCTTCCTCCATCTCCTCCTCCTTCACCACCACCAACACCCCCCTCCTTCTCCCCTCTTCTTCCTCATCTCCTCCTCCTTCACCACCACCAACCCCCCCTCCTTCTTCCCCTCTTCTTCCTCCATCTCCTCCTCCTTCACCATCACCAAGTACCTCTTCTTCCTCCATCTCCTCCTCCTTCACCATCACCAACACCCCCCCTCCTCCTCCTCCTACTTCCCCTTTACCATATGGCAGATAATAAGTCCTGATAGTATTATAAAGTTAGTGCCTGAAGCTACAGTACAGTAGATGTGAATAGGTATATACTTCAAGGCCAAATAATATGTATCATAAAAAATTAATTCACCTTGTAATATAATACCTATTTTTGCCTAACCTAACCTGAACCAAACAAAACTAAACTAACTCAACTTAATCTAATCTAACCTAACCAAATGTAATCTAAACCTAACCTAACCTAACCTAACCTAACCTAACCTAACCTAACCTAACCTAACCAAAACTAACCTAACCTAGCACATACACACATATAAGAGCCAAATCCCTCAATA